AGAGAGTGTAACTTTAATAAAAGAAATCAACTTTAAAAGTTAGATGAAAGGAAAGCTTTTCATAGAAATACGCAAAAAGTATAGTGTAGTCTTTTTTTTTCGTTTTAAACAAAAATTTTATAGAGTTTGAAGGAGAAATCTGTCACACAAAAAGCAAATTTCTCCTCAGTGAGAGCAGCTTTAGTAGAGCGGCGTGCACAGCAGCCCCGAAGGACGCTGCTTTTTGACTGATGTGCACAGCTCCTCGCTCTTTCTTGAGCAGAAAGCCTCTCATCCTGCTGCTCTAACAATGCTGCAGCCACTGCACTCTCCACCTACGTGTGTAACCCACGGCTCAGCGCAACAAGTTCACACCTTTTCTTTCCGTTGGTGGCCATTGTGGGAAAGATAACGAATGGCTAACGAAACAGAAACGGCGCAGGCATGCCGAGGGAACGCTGCTTCAGCGGGAAGGTGAATTAAAAACAGTTTATCAGAGGATAAATCCTGAAATAAATGCAGTGAATTTCCCTTTAACCAGCAGCCTTCTCCTCGTAGGCTGACGTGTGGCGAGGGATTTGTAGACAGAGAGAATGGCAAATAACCAACCCCTAAAATGTAACCGCTTGCTACTTTTAATCATTAATGTGCGCTTTGGAACTCATCCCGCTCGTGTCCTTTTTTCCCCGCTTAAACAAAAGGAGAATGACAAAAAAAGCCATTTGCAGATTAGCAGAAGGATTAACAGTAATATGGTTTATCCCACATGTGGTATGTAAGCTGACATCCCCTCTTACACAAAGACATGCCTGGACATCACATTATAAGCAGGATTTGTTTCTCCTCTCCTCCTCTTCTGTGTGCATTGTAGTCATTAAACAATAACAAAGGTAGCCAGAGGTGCAGAGCGAGCGAGATGCTGCTTTTCTAAAGATGCTATACCTATGCTTGCTTCCCCGCAACGCCGTCAAAACGATCGCTGTTTCCTTGCGTCTGAGATAAATTGTACATTGTTAGAAGTTGGGGAGGGGGGGAGTTATTGTATGGGAGGAACAAAAGGAGCAAGTTGGAGGGCCTTCTGAACAGCGTAGGCCACTCTGATCTGAGCGTGAGCGATGCGCCACATCAGCTGCTCCTTCTTCCTCATTGTTTGATATGCAGTGAATCATCAGTTCTGCCGAAAAGTGCTGAAGTTTGTCAGAACAGTTTATTTAGGGTGAAATTTATTTTTTCATCTTCATTCTCCCGTTCCGCTATGTCTGTCTGCGTCTCCCCTCGCCGCCTCCCCCCCCTCCACCTGCTCCTCTTTTATGATGCTTCAAATTCAAACGTGTAATAGCAGACAGGATTTAAGGCTGACTCTGATGGGAGATGGAGCACACCTTTTGAATATGCTGCCAATTACCGCTTCACTCGCTCTCTGTCCTGACTCCAAACTAGAGATCTGAGGTGTCAGAGCCGAGAAGTAAGCAACTGCACGGCACTTGAAAGGCTGAACATTAACAGAGTGTTAATTCAGAAAAAAGAGCAGATAAATGGTGCCGAATGCATTTGGAGGCAAATGCTACACTTAGGAAATTAAAGGAATACGCCGTGGTTTTGGTATGTTGGCTCTTTGGTCCACTTACCAGTTAAATCATGAGAACACAGACACTAAAATGTGCTCCTGGGTGGCCGCTGAGCTCCGTGCTGCTGAGCGAGAGCACTGACCTTTGAGTAATAAAATGTTCTTAGTGGTTTAATTATCTGGCCTGTAGATGCATGAATCTAAGAGATGAAATATCATTAATTCAATACAGCTGATTCAGGCTGTTATTTTTAGATATGTTTCAGGTGAGAACTGTACTTTATTTAAAGATATATATTTATAGATATACCCAGTTCACCCGTGGACGCATTATTTTCTGTCATGTGAGAGCAAATGTACTCCTTAGAAAGTATTTATTGCTCATGTTCATACTGTATCTATTACTCATGTTGTACATTTGCCACATTAAATCACACTGAGTTATTTGAAAGGCCAAAGGCAGTCAGAAAAAATTAGTTTTTAAGTCTGTTCATCCGGCGTTTTGGCAGGATGTGTCTCAAGTGGCCACTCGAGACTGGCTGCAAAAGTGAGCCATTCTCCATGGACTTTTATGTTAAAATTCCCAACTCTGTTAAAAGCATCTTCGTAGAAGCCTGATTTTGGCTTCTGTAGGAAAGGTGCACCTTCATAACAGCTGTACAGGGGGGATTTCCTTTATAAGTCACTGGCTGGAACTTTATTGAAGCATAATGTTTGCATATTTCGAGTTGTGGGTGCTTTACAGTTAGCTCTGTAGCTGCTAGCTGTAAGCTAGCATCCACGATTTCAAGTCATAGAACAAGTGTTTTGGGAGTTTATGCTTTCGGTGCATTTTTAACGCAACTGTCTTCACTTCTTGTTCTTTTCTTCTTTTGGCTGCTAATTATCATTCACAGTTGATTCCAAAAAAACAACGTAGCATAGCTGCTAAAATGCTAACACTTAGGCATTGAGGCATTGCCATGTGTTCATTAGTTTGTAAATGCTGCACTGCTATGTTGTTGCCAGAAGTGACCACATCTAAGTTCCAAGTTATCAGCCCACAGTAGCAAGCTTGTTTAACAAGGTGCATTCATAGACTTTATGGGTTCATTGCGCAGACAGAGATATCTTGTCATTTGTGATAGTAGCATACAGCTAAAATACTACAGTTATACTTTTTTACAGACTTCTTGCCATGTGGTTTTGCAGATAATTACTTCAATAGGCACCTACACCTCAATTAAAATGAAGA